TATCCTGCAGCGCAGCACAGAAGCTGCGCCATCGCACTAGCAATCGCTCTTTGTGCGCATGCGCTGTTGCGCAACCTGCAGAGACGAACAGCAGCGGGCGCCGGATGCCACGTAAGTCCACCGAACGCGATCAGACGCCCGCCCTTGGCCCGCGGTTTCAGGAAACTAGTACCTCGTAGGTACTAGTAGTTTTTAACTCCGCACTTTCGGCGGGGAGCCACGGGAGCACTGCACTTCCCAGATGTTGGGGTGAGATCGCGCCTGGAAAATCCGCAGGACTCCCGTGCCTCTCCCGTGGCAACTTTGCCGTGTGACCGGGGCCATATTGTGTATACTTTTTAAAGGACAGTTAACAGTATTTATTCAGGAAGCTTATATCCTGCCTCTCAGTCACAACAAACAGAAGTAGTAGAAATTAAAACCTTCACAGGAGGAGGCTTGATAGAAATGCCTTCTTCCTTCAACAAGAACAGTGGCTGTTTGTTAATGACACAGAAAAGTTATGCACCATAAGGGAAGGAGCAGGATTAGAACAGTCTGGAATCAAGCTGCTTTCATCAATAAGAGCATCTTTCAGTCCTTAGGCCTAAGCAAAGCTTCCCCTCAGTGATGCTGCCTTTTGCTAAATGAAGTTTAAAAATGTACAAGACTCGAACAACTGCATGACAGCAAGCAGCCTGCTTAAAGTACAGTATATGTAGAAAGCTTCTGTGAATCTGAAGTTGGCTAATTCATATGACCCCATTAAGAAATCTGAACGCAGCACAAATACAGTGTCCTAATTTGAATGTCAAGGATGCTCCCCCATATGAAGAAGAGAAGAGAAGAGATTGGATTTATACCCCGCCCTTCACTTGGAGTCTCAGAGCGGCTTACAAACTCCTCTCCCTTCCCCTCCCCACAACAGACACCCTGTGAGGTGGGTGGGGCTGAGAGAACTCTCACACAAACTGCTCTTTTTCAAGGACAGCTGTGCCAGAGCTTGTGACTGACCCGAGGTCACATCAGCAGGTGCAAGTGGAGGAGTGGGGAATCAAACCTGGGTCTCCCAGATAAGAGTCCGCACACTTAACCACTACGCCAAACTATGCTCCTCATTTTTCTGCAAGCCCCAGTTTGTCATCATGTGTGAATTCAGGGAGGAAAACAGTATGAGCAGTATAAGGAATGTGCAAGCTCAAGGCTCGCCTGAGTAACATTAACCTATGGTTTAGCATTACATGTGAACAGTCACATTACAAGCCCTCTGTACACGCTGAGGATAATCCATAAAGTTCACGTATTCTCTACAGAAGCAGGGGATAGGGCACAGGAGATGGGGCATAGAGTGTGCCACACATATATGGAGCCTAATACGGATATCCCAATGATATAGTCGGGTTTACCAAGAAGTTCCATCTTAAAAAGAATATTCTTGCCCCCTCAGCTGTGTGTGTATGCAAATGATACTTTTAGGTCAGATTTCAGAAGCAAAAGAATTAAGCTCTGCATTTTGTACCATTAATTTAACAGCAACTGCAGAGTAAAGAAACACCCTCAAATAGTGAAAATCCCATGAAAATCTACAGCAAATCAGTAAAGGTGAAAAGCCATTTGAGGACAGCATCTGGACATCACCCTCAAGTTACTAAACTGCAATCAGTTTGCTATAAAACAGCACAAGGCCCAAGAGGCACATTATCAACAAATAATCCTAAAAGATGTATGTCTTAAACTTCTTTATTATCCAAAGTAGACTCCTTTTGGTAATTGGTTGTCATGTACTAGAATAATCTAGCATGATAAAATCACAAACTATAAAACCTCTCACCTCGGCACTTCCTTTTCTTAAAGAATAATGCCTGTTTAATCACCTTTGCTGTCTCTCAGTAACCCATACCCTAAAAATATGTAACAAGATGTCAAAGCATGTACCTTTTTTTGATTGAATGCCAAGTCTGTGATGTTTTGGTTCCTATCCTACCAGTGTCCAAATGTAGGCCTCTTTTCCAGCCTTAGCACATTTTAAGGGGACATATTTTAACCTCTTTCCTCTCATCTTAATCAACAAATTTACAACTGCGGTACAAACTGCCACTTTCACTAGCGAGTGACAGAAATAGTTGTTTCAAGCAAGAAAGGGAAGCCTGACCTAGACATATTCTAGGTAGTTAGTGAAAGCCCAGCTGCGCATGGTGGCATTTTATGATTTTCTCACAAGGTGGTTGGCATCTAGGAGGAGATCCAGCAATTGGAAGTGACTGGCCACATCATGAAGGCAACCTCATCCACATTTCTATCTACATCAAGCTTGCCATGTTGTCAGGTTACCACACGGCCAATCGCTACAGACTGCTAGCTCCCCTCACCAATGCATAATTCCACATGACTGGATTGTAGACAACATCCACAGAAGTGAATCTGAGCCTGTAAGTTTTAGTGTCTAAAGCCTCTGCCAAGCACCTCCTTAGCAGAAGGCAGTGTTTTTGAAGGGGAGCACAGCATACAAACATCTACCAGACTGAAACTTGAGTGTAATCCTAGCTTAGTTTCAGCTTAGTTCTCACCAAGCCAAAATTTACCAAGTATTTTACATATCCTGGAAGCCCAACAGTTGCTTGGTGCTATTAAGTTACTGCCTGGCAAGATATGGCTAAGGGCAGATACACAAAAACTCATCGCCTATGTTTAGAACCCATTTCCTCCTGACAAAAGAGATGCTTTTTTTAGAGTTAATGACTGTGCCTTGATGCCTCCCCCCAAAAAAAGCCTATAAGGAAGCACTCCTCAACATTATGCACCACTGATATATAGGAGATAGCTACCACCTGGTTATTTACACCAGTCAACGGTGAGGTGCACTTGCCTGGCCATACAAATGTCATTGGCACTCAGCCTAGAATTCCAAGGCCAGATATGCATCCCAGCATCAAGTGATTTGTTGCTTCCCTACATGGCCCGCATTTTGCGGGCACTGTGTCAAAGGCCACCCAATACGCTTATACTTGTGACAGAGGCATGCACATAGTCTCTCTCACCTTCAGGTCTTGACACTAGCTATGGAACACAGTGTATGTACTCTTTGCTGCCTATCCTGAACATTTCACTAGGTACACTCATTTAATTCACGAACCGTAACAGGGCAGACTACACAGAATATCCGGGTTCATTTCGAAGGCTGTTCTGTGAACAGGACCCTGCCTACCATCCTAAAGGTACCTACCATCTTGGCATTGTTGCCACTATGGGAGTCACTGGCTATCAGAATAACCATGTCAACTTTGTCAGCACAGTAGTTAAATGTATGTAATCAGTATCGAAAGACTCAAGCTGATAACAAATTAAGTGCAACTGATCATCTAAACTTACTGCCACTACTAGTTGAAATTTAGCAACCTATGCAATCCAACGATTAATTTTCCATCAGCAGAACAGACCCCCCCCCCGATACACAGCCCACTGACCACGACAAAATGCTGTTCCAGAGGGATGCAGGGGTCTGCAGTCAAACAGGGGAACTGGAGGAGATTGCCCATTTATCCAACACTATACATTCAGCAACATGAGGCAGAAGATACAGAATCGGGCATCACAGCAAATCAAAGCAAGCTATCTGCCATACACAAAGATACCTCAAAAGGCAATATATTTGCATCAGGGCATGTATCAGATTTACAATCAAAAACGTTTTCTTTCAAGGTGTATTGATACTGTAACTATAGGACTGCAAATATTTATAATTTAAAACGGAGTCCACAACCTTAAAGCCATTCAACACACCTCAAAAGGATGGAAACTGGACCCCAACCAACAGAGACGTTTATACTCCAGTTGAAGGGGGGGGGGGGGACCTGTCAAGTGTTAGCGTCAAATAAAGGGAATTATATTATGTTTTTAAGTACACAGTTTCACGTTCATCTCAGCTATTTTAAATCAAAACATATTGTGGCTAGAAGCTTCTAGAAATTGCTTACAAAACCTCATTCTACAATAATTGCGTCACAGAGCTCTTTGCTATACGAAAAGGACTAAGATGGCTAGTTAAGCCAGTACAACACACTGGTGAGGTGAAACTGAAGGATATCATGGAGAGAAGAGCTAGAGAAAACCACAGCTGCCTCCCCACATATACTATTCCATAAAGGCTACTGTATCATGTAACAGCAAAAGGGGAGAGCTGGCAATTGGGAGTAGGGAAGTGTTAAAAGAACTATGCACTGGGCATCTTATACTGGAAACACAGGCAAGAAGCAGCTGGTAGACCTGCTATATCCTTTACAAGAACATACATTTTCACCATTAACATACAGCATACAGAGTTTTGCTCACTTGGAAATACTCTGAGCAAATTGAGTCTTTTTTATTTACTGTATTATTGGACTGCAAACCACCCCACCACGCATCTCAGCTAACTGGTGGGTAAAAATGCTTGAATAAATATATCAATAGGTTAAAATGCCAACTAAGATTCAGGCATACTAAGAGCCTGACTAGGTCATGCAGTTCCATGAACATTCTTTACAATGGAAGCTCCAGGCCAATACTGTAGCCCTGTGCCAGAGCCAATGGTTCTCCTGTTTAGGTCACTTCATGTCAGGTGGGCCTTTTTAGCAGCAAGTCTGTACCGCTGGATGCAATCAGTTTTCTTCCCTTCACAGCATGGAAGTTGCTGAGGAAAGGGAGGAGGCAGACAAAAGTATTCTGCTGATAATGCAGGCACTCAACATACCGGCAAGATTTACACAACCCAAAAAATGGCAGAAATCTGATTACAAGCCAGCTCTCCAGTACCAGTTCAGCACAAGCAGGTCATCCAGCAAGAGAGACTGCATTGGGTATGAAGTCAGCAGCAAGATCCCCATCCGTTTTAATGACTCTGGAGCCCATTCTAACTCACACTGTCTGTACCTGAACAGTAAATCAATTCATAAGAACTTAATGTATTGCCAACTCATCACTTCAAAAGCTGTAACATAAAAGGCATTTTGAGACACATGTATTATATAACAGTAGTATCTCACCAGCTACTTCCACAATATCACCGGGGATGATGTCTCTAGCTTTTATCCTTTGGACACTTTTTCTGTCTTGTCGATATACTTTGCCCATTTCAGGTTCATATTCTTTAAGAGCTTCAATAGCATTTTCAGCATTTCTCTCCTGCAAGAGAGGGCAAAATTTTAGAGGTTCCAGAAGACAGAAGCACTAGCTCTCACCACTGAAGGTGGCAAAATGCAATCAGCTTCCAATTTTCCCATTTATACCATTAAGCACACAGTAGCCTGTAACTAGACATATCATGCCGCTGCAGCAAGCCGAGGAGGCAGCCTGCAAAGCATCACTGTCAAACGCAGTCTACAGAAGCCACGGTGCCTCACTTCAGTTCATTTTACATCCTCTCTAGGATGTTTGTTATGGCACGGGCAAGGAGGTAAGGATAGTTTTAAGACAAAGGCTCTTCCTGACTGAGACAATCCCTCCACTAGAATGCTTATTCATAATCAAAAGAAGATGATTATCTCATACATAAAATGCATGAAGTACTTATTTTAACACAGAAATCTCTGCCTCAAAGCATATTTATTACAGTGACTAACAAAGAAACCAACCCTGTTATTTCAGAATTCAGCATCAATCCTTATTCTATTCCCGCCTTCATAGCACTCAAGACCCTATTTTGCTGGATACATGCATATAGTCAGCAACCTCTAGATTTGAAGCTTGCCCCAAAGCAACTTCTTTCTTGGTGGGTTTTCAAACAGAGGCTAGATGGCCATCTGACAGCAATGCTGATTCTGTGAACTTTGGCAGATCATGAGAAGGAGGGCAGGAAGGGCTGCATCAGTGCTTAGTTCTCAAGGCCCTTTCTTACACACCCAGGGAAATGCTGATCACCCCCTCGAGGTCAAGCAGCAATTAATCTCCCGGCCAGTTTGGCCAGGGGTCCTGGAGGTTTTTTGCTGCCTTCTAAGTATGGAGCAAGGGTCACTGGGTCACATGTGGGGGGAGGTATTTGTGAATTTCCTGCATTGTGCAGGGGGTTGGACCAGATGGCCCTGAAGATCCCTTCCAGCTCTATGATTCTATGAAAGCCTTTTTGCTCCAGTAGTGAAAAGATAATGGCTGGCATTTCACACTCACACTTGTTAACAAAATAGCGAATATCTCTTTTAACACAGTAACAAGAATGGTATCATAACAGAGAAAGTATCAACCCCTCATCATTATTCCAGTTTGGACTTGCTAGCTGTCCTCACAAGAGTGACTGTATGATTATGGTAACCGCATTTTTATTGCAGTTTTATGGCTACTGTTGTTTAAGAATCTAGGTTTCGGTCCAGAATACCCAAGGGACTGTTTGCTTGAGTACAGCACTGTCCAGATGTTATGTCCACTCTCTCAACCCCTTCTCCTTAGGCCCCTGGCTTCTGGTGGCTGCTGCCTGGAGTTGCCTTTCCCCTTCCCATCACTGAGGAGCTTTTTGCACCAGGCCAAATCTCACATAGCTTTTAGGTAATCTGATGATTATTCCTGTTGGCAGCAGTCGTTTCCTTCAGCAGTAGTTTCCCCCCTATCTTATCTGGTTTTTAAAGTGTTACTTTTCAAAGTGCTGCTTCTAGTCTCTTAGTATTTTAGATGTTTTTACACTAAGGTGTTATGATTTGTCTTTTATTATCTTATTGCATTGCAAACTGCTTCAGGCATGTTTACTGAAAAAGCAGCAGTACGTAAATGACTGAAATAAAAAATAAAGATACAATGAATAGGACTTTCGGTTAGGAAAATTGTTTTCACCTAGACGGCCTGATGGTGAAGGTGCCATAAACTATCACAAGCTGTCAGAATTGAAATGTTTGAGACACCAGTAATTTCTGTTCTCATGTTTTCATTGAAAAGTCAAACGCAAGCATTGGGCTGTGGTTTGTGCAGCCAGTACAGGCAGATTCAGAAATAGTGCAAATCATGGCTTAAGACATCAAGACTTTTCATCTTGTCTCAGTTATGAATTACTCTAGTCAACTACTTTGACAATCATGCAAAAAAAAAAAAAAAGACGAATGCTGAAAATCAAATGTCTCTTCATCTCTTCCTGCCACTGTAGCTAGTTTGCAAGGGAAATTGCTATAACATGACCAGACCTAACCAGGCCTAATCTAAGGCAAACAACAAACAAAAACATTGTCTCCTTTAACAATGCCTGTTCAGAAGCTCAACACAAGTATTATCTGCACTATTAAGCTATTAGTTTTTTATTATGATGGGTCATAATAAAAAAGTTATTCCATATTTATTTATAGGTTATTATGTTTTTGTTACAGCTTTTAAAAAAGGACAAGCCAACTATGAAGAGTTCAGGATTAGGTTTAGTAGTAGCAATAATAAGGAAGTATGGCCATTAAAAGATAAAACTCTGGAAGCTGAAAAATAAGTCTGGATCCTAAATTTTTGGGGTGGCTCCTAAAGCCACAGAAAATCTGCCAAGTCCGGGATCTGTTCCAAAAGAGCATTTTCTGAATGACTATTTTAAAACATTCCATCTGTGAAGGCAAGAAAGAGGGCAGTCCAAAGAGACCTGCATTAGGGGGACACATTACTCAGACTACCTGCTCCAGATTTATTCATACATTTGCAAACACATACTGTCCTAGCTTGCGTGTTGTGGCTAGGCCATAGTTCGCCTGCTGGGATCACGTTGCAGCTTCCTGAACTTCCTTCCTCTCCCTCCCACTCTGTGCACATAGAACCCCTCCTGTATTTCCTGGCTTGTGCCAACCAAAATTCGCTACAGGGTCCACTCTGTGGCTTTTCCTAGCTGGCAAACTATAGCAGAATACAGTTTAAAGATAAGTTTGCAGACAATATGCAATCCTACTCAACCACCATTCAAAATCTGGTGCTTTTTTTAAGTCTGTGGTAGCTACCCACTGCTCCATGTCAAAGCCATAAAATCAAAACCTAGTAAAATCTAATAAAAAGTGAAATAGCTCATCTGCTTGAACTCCTGTAAAAGCAACACTATCTATTCAAAGTTATGAGTCAGAATCTGGCAGCTCCTTCTTGGCAGTGGCGGGGTAACGCATGGAGACTGCCATCAATATTTATGTTACCATGGCGCTGTGGGACAGATTCCCATTATCGCCATACATTCAGAAGTGACTCTATCTGGACCCTCCCTTTTCAAACATTTTGTAGGCCCAAGTTTTCTCTTGAATACTGCACAGCAAAGCCTTACTTACACAGACCACTCTGTCATCTAGACAAAAAGGCAACTGCAAAGCATGGGGAGTGCAGGCATATTGGTATGCAAAACGCTGTGAGGGAAACTTATAATGGAACTGGGAGCACTTCAACCACTGCAGCTAAGGTTTGGTTCTAAACTAACGGTTTGAACAGGACTCCATTTTGACATCTGTAGTATAAGCAATACTGCACAACTAAATACCTTAAGAGAACCTGGGGCAGTGACTATTGGATGAACTGGGCAAAGGGAACTGTGACAAAGTCAAGACAGTTCAAGGTTCCAGTTGTGATTAAGTAGGATAGAAAGTTTGCTGGTGATCCAATTATGTGCTCTACTAGCATCTGACTTAGTGTAAATACTAGTAGCCTCTATTCAACCACGCTGATCGTGACCCAGCAGTTACAGACGTTTTTAAAAATGCACCTTTACAGTACCTAGCTGTTATATGTTTCAAAAATAACATTATTGCTACTACCAGAATTTTACTGAGCACAATTAACACAATTTTGAAATATGCAAAGTAGAGCCAGACACATTTCAGCATCAGCTAGAATATGTCTTATCAACCCCTTTAGAGGGTTCTACCGATTCTGAAGAGCTTGTTGCTCTCTCCACTTTACAGCTGTTAGAGGATGGAGAGAAGTTTTTCTGCCACAGAACACAGAAATGGGCTTAGCTGTAGATTCTCAATATGGCATCATACATGTGGATTGGGAATACTGCAAAAACAGGCCATACTGTTCACACCTAAGCACAGTAAATGGTACTTTTGTACCAAGTCTTGCCTTGCCATGACACAATGATTGTAGGGCAAAGTGAGCAGGTTAACAAAGGCCAGTCCAGCTAAAGAACTCTCCTAGGCAGAACTCCTACTGAGCCTCAGTACTCAGGTGCAAGATAACATGCGAATATTGCTTACTACAATGTATCAGATTTACAGTTTGGGAAGAAATCAGTAAAACTCCACTTTGCCCATGCCGTCTGAATGCAGGTATCCGGGCAAACAGGAGGCTGACTGAAAGCTTCCTGGTTTGGCAAGCCTTTATTCATGCTCTGCATGCAAGGGGCATGGCAGACGGGAGGAAACGCTTGAGGACAAGAACCAGCTGTGCTAGCGCCTAATACTGGAGTTTTCTGTGATGTCTGAACATGGCCAGAATTTGAGCTCAATTTAAGAACGTGCAAGGATTACAGCAATAATGTAAAAAGAATTACTTTAGCTGCACCCAAGGGCTTTGGGTATGTTTAACGAATTTTTTTCTTTTCACTAACATACAGAATACCAACATAGATCCCCTAAAAGAAAAAAAACTGAAAGGCTGAACATCTTGCTTCTCTCCATTCCAAAACATACTCCGTTCTCTATCAGGAAACCCAAAGAGTGGCAACCAGAACTCAAAAAATTAATTTAACAGTGAAATGTTTTATATTTGCTGTCTTTTGTCTAAATTGTATTTTTGCATTTCTCTGTGAGCTGCTTTGAGTCCCAAAGGGAGGGAAAAGCAAGATAGAAATACTTAAGAAAATTGATTCATGCAGTAGCTCCTTGGTTTCAAAAGGCTGCCATGAAGTATTTCAAGGGGGGGGGGAGAAGCGGGGGACGCTGCTCTTCAAGAAAGCCCAAAGCTTCCTTGAGTGCACTGAATTAGTTACACGGCTCCTTGGATACTAGCCAATCTAGAATGCACAGCCTCTTTCTTCAAGAATTGAGAAGGCACAATTTGAAACACTTCCTCAAAATGATATCTAAAGATCTCACAGCTTCCATCACTGTAACATATGGCAATTTTAATTCAAAGCTGTTTAAAATTCATATGTATGAAAAGCACCCTCACTGCAACAATGTTAATTTCCTAAATTCAGCATTACAGAGAGTGTTTGCTTACCTGCCACACACCAACAATTGCATTAGCAACTAATATGAGTAAAATTACAAAAGGCTCTACAAAGGCTGTTACTGTTTCTTCACCTTCTTCAAACCAGGCCAAAACCTGCAAGAGAAATCAGAGTTACAAACATGTACACACTTAGATGGCATTTTCTTTTAACATGCTACAATAATCTCAATTTCAGCAACAATTTATTCTCCGGTAATCAGGTATTTCTCTAAGATTTACTGAATCATTCCACTGGGTCACATAAACCACACCTTCGATGCAGAAAACAAATTGTGTTTCATAAAATCAGATTCCCTCACCTGGCTCTTTTCAAATGACTTGCAATTTGCACATCGAAGACACTGGCAAGAGAATTTTATCCCTCAAAAACTAATCACTAAGATTTGTCTTTGAAAACAAAGCCTAAATGTTAAATATACACAATCACACCAAATGAAAAAATAATAATAATTACCCTTTATCCTGCAAAGGCAAATAATTACCCTTTATCCTGCAAAGGCACAGGGCAGATTATGTGGCCGTCTGAGGAGCTACACCTCAAAATTGAATTAGGAGATTTAATTCCTAATTCTTTCTTAAAAACAGGCTTTTATAAAAATTGTTCTAAACATAATGCAAGACCTCAGCTTGCATTTTTATGCTCAGTTTGGAATTTTGAAACTGAATCAATGTTGTGTTTATCTAGCCAAAGGAGTCTCAGAGTGGCTTACAACTGCCTTCCCTTCCTCTCCCCACAACAGACACCCTGTGAGGTAGGTGAGGCTGAGAGAGCTCTGAGAGAACTGTGACTGACCCAAGGTCACCCAGTTGGCTTCATGTGGAGGGGTGGGGAATCAAACCCAGTTCTCCATATTAGAGTCTGCCACTCTTAACCATTACACCATGCCGGGTCTCAAACAAGAACTAGGGGTGGGAAGAAGAAAAAATCCACATCAGGTAAGTGGTATATGGGAAAGAGCTGAAATTCACTCTCACACTGCGCAGCCCCAATCTAAACAGCTACCCTTACCATTAAGAATCCACAAGATACCCCCCCCCCGGCCATTCATTTACAGATCTCACAAGGTCTCCTCTAGTTTGACTCTAATAGTAGCCACACATGGTCATATGTTTTGCATGTTTTCCAGACACACACAGCTTTCAAAGTATCAAAGAAGCTTTAAAAAGAACAGAATTTAGATAAAGGCAGAAAATGGTCCTGAGATCAGAGGACTTCTAAGCCGCTCTTCATCTAACCAACTTCTTAAATTCCTACTGCATTGCCCAACAAAATATCCTGGAAACTCCATGGACTTCCTGAGGCTGCTGTGATGAAGAAACACAACAGGGAAATTCCCTCTACAAATGTGCCAAATGGGGCACTTTAGGTCATGGCCAAAATGTCCTGTACTGGATTCATTCAATTTAAGTACGCTGGATTAATCTATCGTCACTTGGAGGACTTCAGACTGTACAGTGATTAATGAAGAAGGTAGTTACTACCATCCTTAGTAACAGGAAGTACAAAGTGACTAGTGCAGAGATCATCATAAACTGGGCGCAAGCAAGAAAATCAGGGATTTCCTTCTGGGTAGCTTTAAGGTAGCAACTCCCGAACTGAAAATTATTGGAAATTGCTAGATGGTTCATAGGCTGCAGAAGTTGGGGGTGGAGGCAATGCCACACCAACAACTACAGGGGTGGGAACATCTAGGTCAGCCGGTATGACAGCATGGAATATTTATAGTGACAAGCCTCCTCAAACAGTTCCATAGTTGTGTGCTACATCAGTTTCCATAGCATTGCATTCAGAGCTCTGAACAGCTGTACAACCTTGACTACTCCAGAAAATAACATGGAAACAAATCTCCTACTAGACAAGCACAAACCACTGGGATAGTCCAGAGGAAGACTGGCATTACCAACTCCAAAGTGTTTCAGCATTTGTATTAGCCATTCCCCCTCCCTTTTAATGAGGAAAATAAGATTACAGCAGTGTCCTAAACGGCATAAAACACCCAGTTCGCACTCCAAAACTACATCCTGGCTCTTCTAAAATGGCTACAACTACGACATCATTAGCCACTTGATGGAGCTCCAATCATGCAGCTACAATGTACACCGAAGCAGACACTCAACAGCGGAGTGCTGAAAAAAAGAGACCAGTATTAAATGACCTCCACAGCTGCATTAACAAGTGACAAGTAATATGGGCAATGTGTTTTTAAAACTGGCCACAGTCAGCATATGATATCTGGACGGTTATATACATCTACCAATGCACAAGGTATTAATACATACTTGCCGGAATTATGAAGAACAGTAGCCTCTCCTTATGCAACATCTACAGTTTTGTAATGTACGAACATTTTTATTCTGGGGTCACAGAGAAGGTGGATTGCTTAAAATTAAACTTTCTCCACAGTGAATGGCACAAACAATTGCCTTGCATCCCATAAAAAATTTAGTACATTTTTATCCACCGTCACTCAAAGGCACTCCAGGTGACATACACAGTTCTCCCCTGTACCACTTTATCCCAACAACCTTGTGAGGTAGGAGGGGGTGTGAGAAAGTGACTGGCCAAAATTACTGATGACATCAGGATTATTTGTCAGTGAAGCATGACTTTCTCGCCTCCCCCTTCTGCTGCAGTTCAAAATGCTGTGAGGGGGATACAAGAAACCGGTAGGAACAAAATGAGGGGGGGGGGGGAATCTGCAAAAACCTTCACCACTTTCCCAGCAGAAACGTTAGGCAGATCCAAGCCAATGGCATTCTAAACACTGAAGCTTTAATAGATAGATTAAAAAAACCCATTAAAGACCAATACAAAAGGACAGGGATCTATTTTTTAAGTTCTAAACTATTTACAGCTTTAAATTGTTTACATATCTGTCATATTTATGAATAAAAGTGCTAAGTGAAAGTTTTTAAGTTAGTGTTAACTAGAGGCATGGGTCAGAGGCCACATTTCCATAGCAGGTTCTTTTAGCGGTAGTATGACTTCAGCTTTGAAACTTTCATTACAGCTGCATATTGCCTTTTTATTGCATATTTAATACAATAAAAAGATATATAAAAAGATATGCATATTCTTTATATTATGTACAGCAAGTACAAGGATAACATGTCTACCCAAACCATTAAAAAGTGGAATAATGAACTCTCTCACACTTTGCAAAATCCATCTACTGCACAATCCTCAAGCATAAAGAGTCTAATCTGGAGGTATCTCTACTTGGCTAAGAGAATATACCTGATCCCTATCTCCTCTAAACACTTTAAGCATTTGGTGAGACGTCTTAACTATTCAGTTTTTCCTTTATAACCATAATAAGGACCAGAAAGCCAATACTCAATCTGAAATTCTTCTTTTCATAACAAAACAGGTGTCAGGGAAGTCTGAAATCACCTGCTAGGTGATACAAGCCACTATACACAAAATATATGTTGATTCTTACAATAAGTCTTAGTCAATGCTAAAAGTAATGTGAGTATTATCAACTACAGAAGATAATGGATACAGAGCTCTGTCATTTGTGTCAGTCTACTTCATTAGAAGCAGTTAAAAGACCATGCTGTACAGCTAAGTCCGGAATTTTTGGAGTAGATAAACACATTTATATACCATGCCCATATAGCACATCGAGCAGCTCTCCCTCCCTTTCCCACATGGTCAGACCTGCAAATTAGTCATTCCTAATAAAATGCCCTTCCACAAAAATGCAATGAATGTGCGAATCCATTTCCTACACTGGGATCTCTGAACAGATTACTCTTCTCCCTTATAACTCTAAGAAGCCATTCAATTCTTTTGGGACATCATGGTTACTACATCTTCCAAGAGCCCAAGAAAATCTAGTGGAGTCTTGAAAAATTATTTTGGCTGCAAATGAGCTTTCATAGGTTTCCGCCGCATTATCATATACTACTTTGAGATGAGAAATCAGTTGACAGAATGTTTTGGAAGAACTCTTAAAAGGAACACTCAATAAGGATTACATATGAAAGTATGGAATACAAGAACAATATTACTCTCAGGCTTTACAGTGTTGGGAAGAAACTATAATCTCTGATCCAGTCTTCACTGAAACAGTTAAACTTCTCAATGAGTTCCCCTTCTGCCCTCACATTCCATACAAGCATTCAAAAACAGCTGTTTGAAATTGATTACTCTAAGGCCTAATGAAATAGGGAAGTAAAAATGTTCAACAATAGGACTGGCTATTTAGAATTTGTTCTTTATACCATATTTATGTCCATTTAATTCCCCCCTCCCCAATACAGCCCAGTCTGGCAACAAGGACATTTTCTGCAAGATACGTATGATTTTACCAGTGTTCTGTCTAAGCAGCACTGGTGACATCAAGTCTTCTGACTATGCTGCCGATTAATGGGCACCTAATTCTGTTGCATGCTCCTGCGTCGACTCTTGACGCAATTCCATCATGTTGTTCTTATTGCCCGTTAGCACTCTTAAACTGGGAGGGGGATGGGATGCAGAGACAGAATGAACCCCCCCAAAAATAGTAGCCAGAGTAATGAGGGCAGTCTTATTTGGATGCCCTGCAGGATGCTCTGTTGTGTTTGTAAGCCTTCATTATAAACTGCTTAGGCTTCCTTCATCAGCCAAAGCTGAAACAGTCACATTTTTCAAGTTCTGAGCCCTCTAACAGATGCCATGCTAGTGTGTGACAGATCCAGTGCCCTACTCTGCAGTCAGAAGTAGTAGAATCTGGACACAGCTTTACCATGACAGCTGCTGAACTAAAACTAATCTTAAAGAAAGGAATAACAATGTGAGTATGTTACTGCCACAGTGCTCACCTTTCCTTTATAGCAAAGGATTGCATGAAAGGGTCAAGCAACCCAACAGAAACCCAACAGAAACGAAAGCATTGCCCATGTACAAACAGGAAGGAGAAAGAGGAAAAAATTCAGTTTGTGAAAAACGTATGATTAACACAGTTTTCTCCTTTAGTTATCCCACTATGTTGTTAACATATTTTGAATGCTTAAGAAGGAGATCCTGGGACCAGTTCAGGGGTCCTGAGATGAGCTTGCTAGTGGCAGCTGTATCTGGCAAGTACCTGTCCCAAAACAGAACAGAG